CTAAGATTGATTCTGCCTATGTGAAAACCTTTATTTATATTTTTGTATTTGTAGTTTTATACCATAATTCTTAAGCAGCCCAGCTCTTAAACTTACTTTATTTATGCCTCTTTTTGCCTTGTAGAAAATCCTTCTAACATCCGTTTCATTGAACCACTTGGTGAGATGAAAGGAGTCCTCCCAGGACCAAACCTGCATCTCAGCACTTCCTTTTCCACAGGTGCTGTCTTTTCAGGCAGCTTCTTAGATTCCCTCTTGGCCACGGTAAGTGCAGCTGAACCAAGGGAAGGAGCACGATGGCCAAGTCCTCCTGAGAGGGGATTGTGGGTTGGTTAGAGCTGGAGTGGTATAGAAAACTCCTCACAATCTCAAGTTCTTTTTGTTGTTTTTTTCAATAAAATCCATAGAAACACTTTATCTGATTTTATCTTTTCTCACAACAATTTAGAGAGGAAAGCAAAATTTTTAACTTTTCTAGATTAAAACCTGGAATGATGAAACATCTCTTCTCAGGAAGAATGTGTGAGTAATGGCAGAACTCTTTTGATTTGCTTTGAGCTTATCTTGGCACGCTTAGACACTCTGGCATCAGAGCCCCAGAATACTGCTTTCTCTTCTCTATGAACGTTTCCCTTCCACGAAGCCAACAACCAGTCAAAGAAGGACACAGGAGTTTCAAGGGAAAAAGTTTTTTTGGTCAATGGCAAATTGAATTTCATTCAGAGCTTAGCCAAATATCTCTACAAACACCTTCTCTCATTTGACGACATGGTTCATCCTTAATTTTAAACCCTCTTTTGTTAATAAGAAGTCCTAGTAGCTCAGTGGTTAAAGCATTTAGCTGATAATCAAAAGGTCATTGCTTTGAACTCACTAGTCCCTCTGTGAAATAAATATGAGGCAGTCCAGATTCTACAAAGACTAATCCCTTGGAAACACAATGGGGCAGTTCGCCTGTGTTGTAAAGGGTATGTGAGTGAGGATTGACTTTGACTGAGATTATTCTTCAGCTGCTAATCATAATCCCTTACTGAGTTTATAGGGTCCAAAAATATAATCAATTCTTTGGGCATTTACTTATAGAACCTTTTATGTATTAGATACTTTTCTCTGTACTGTCCTAGGTACTAGGGACAGTTTTAATGAAAAGGAGATTTTTCTAAAAGGTGTGATAGAGAATTAATATGGTAAATAAATAACATGGAATCAGTAATATCAGATGAGCTAGGAGGCTTGGAGTAGTAATTGAGAAAGGAGTTCTTTGCTAGAGAGGGCAGCACTGAGAAGATAGCGGCTGAGTAAAGATGTTCAAGAGTACATTTAGAACTCCAGGAAACAATACAGTTAAGAACAATAGCAATGAGTTGAAAGCACTTTCGATGTGTTCAAGAGGTTTGAATGTGACTTACAAAATCTGTGCACAATCTGTGAGTGACTGAAAGAACACCCCCAAAATAAACTGGTTTACTTACAGGCACTTCAGGTTTGGTTTTCTAAGAAAAGGCTTGCAAAACAACTGAATAGAAATGATATAGATGTTTAAATGTACAAAGCTCAAAGCAGTATTTGATATGTGCTGTTTCCTGAAACTCTGTATGGAGAAGTATTATTCCTGAGCTGTATGAGCACCTCAGATGTCCAATTTTGACTTTGGGTGGGGTTATTGCATAATAGGGTACATGCATCTCCCTCATAGCATCAAGCTCAATTAGAACAAAGGAGATTGTATAGGCTTAGACTCTGGCTCCATAAACCATTAATAAATTCTTGTCAGCCCCTTCCATTCTGCAGAGATAACATGACCAGTGAGAGTTTAACAGCAAATAAGTTGTTGTTGTTGTTGTAGTTGTTATGTGCCGTCGAGTCACTTGCGACTCATAGAAACCCTATGCACAACAGTTCTAAACTCTGCTCTGTCCTGTGCCAATCTCGTTGTCTCTGATACACTCATCCCGATTGCCCCAGTCACCAAATCAATCTACCTCCAAGAGTGCCTTTCCCTCCTGCGCCTGCTCTCCACCCTCCCAAGCATGATGTCCTTCTCCAAGAACCGGTCCCTCCTTAAAACATGACCAAAGTATGTCAGACGAAGTCTCAAAATCCTTGCTTCCAAGGATCAGCCTGGTTTAACCCTCTACAGGATGAATCTGTTTGTTTTCTTAGTAGTCCATGGTACCCTCAGCACTCTACTCCAACACCAAATCTCAAAAGCGTCAATTCTCCTTCTATCCTCCCTGGTCATTGTTCAGCTCTCTGATGCATAAGAAGTGATTGCAAAACCACGGCCTGGACCAGACGCACCTTAGTCTCCAGAGACACATCATTGCTCTTCAGTAATTTAGAGGGGTCCCTAACAGCAGACTTACCCATCACAATATGTCTTCTAATTTCCTGGCTACTAGTGCCAAGAGTGTTGATTGTGGAGCCAAGCAGACTAAAGCTGTGAA